TAGCTTTTAAAATTTTATTCATAGTTAGTTTGCTGATTAAAAAATTGTAATTAAGTTAGTAGTACTTTTTCGAGTATTTACATGATTTTCACCTGATGAATACATAACTCTTAAATTATGCAAAGAATTTCAAATATTCCAAATTTTTAATTATAAATAAAATTTTTTGCTTTTACTTTCAAGCAGTTTTACTTAGGCTTTCTCCACCTTACTATATAACAATAGCGTTCTACACATTTATATTCAAGATTTTACTTGTTAATATGCCAGTTTTGCTGTTATCAGCAAATGATTATTGCGAGAAAAACTGGTGGACCAATTTTTTATATGTCAATAATTTTGTTCATTACGATAAGCAGGTTATTTCATATTACAAATTACTATAATACTGTATTTACATAAAATTAGTCGAATTATCAAAGTTTGTGACTGCAGCCTCCTTGTAAAATGCATAATATGCAGTGCAGTGTGTGAAAAAATAAGCAAAATTAGTATTGTTTTGAGGCAGTAAAAGAATGCATTCAATATAAATATGATTTCAAAATATACTAATTAATTAAGAATGTTAAGGTGAAAATGAGTGGGCAGTTGAATATCTGTATCAAATTAATAACAAATTTGAATATTTAAGTATCGTGATTTTTCAGTGTTATACACCATCATGGTATCTAGCAGTTGATTTTCAACTTTATTTATTCTCACCAATTTTGCTCGTACCGTTAGCACTGAAACCGACTGTTGGATTTTGTATAGCAGGACTTCTTCTACTTTTTTCTACAATATTTAATTTTGCAACTGTATATACAGAATATTTTCCACCTAGCGATTTCAGTGGTGCCATGGATCCAAGAATGGGTCCAGCAAGGTTGGTTTTATCTAATTATTACTGAATGCAAATTTTAAATTGCTTTTAATTTTTCTGGAAAGCGCAATACTTTCTAATATTAGTAATTTTCATCTTATTCAAAAATCCACATCAAATCATAAAGTATTTGAAATTTAAGCTTAAAACTACCAGTCA